AATAGAAACCAAATGAAGTCAATCTCCTTGCTATTATCTTTGATATCCTCAACCTTAACAGGATGTAAGTCACATTTTACATATCAAGCCACTTCTTCCTCTTTAATGCTCTATCCCTATTAAATAGCCTGTAACCATGTTTCAGTTATGCCCATTATATCAAAATCCTCTATTTTATTTCTTGTACTTCTAGCATTACAATAGTTACAATTAAGCCTATCCTTATAACTACTTCTATACTCATTTCCTCGCTTCTTATTATTTTTGCATTTAGTTTCTCCTGGCCCTCACCACTGTCTAGTTCTAGTTTAAAACTTCCCTTACAGCTCAGTTAATAGCCTTAAAAACAAGCCAGCCTCTACTCTTTAAATGTAAACCATTCATTGCAAAAAGCTCCCTTCTTCCGATGAACTGATCCCACAATCTGCTCATTCTAGCCTAGCATTTTGCCCTAGTGACCTACTTATAACTTCATCCCCACAGTTAATTCTGGGCAGTATCCCTGATAAGATTAAGTTATGGCATTTTTCTTTAAATGCCTTTATCAACCCCTTGTACTTATTAATTAATTTCTCTGACCTACCTTTTCCTACATCATTAGCCCCTACCTGCACCACAAAAACTGCATCTCTGCTAGTCCCCTTTGTTATATCTATTGTTCTGTCAATTATATCCTCCACCTGTCCCCTGGGTAGCATAATATAATTCTTTTCTCCCTATTTACCCACAGACTATCCTCTCCACATGCGTTGTCAAGGAATCGCCTATAACTATAACCTCCTTATCATCCAAGTTCTTCTCTGCCCTCTTGTTTACCTTCCTTCCATTCCTCATCTGCAGAAGCCGAGGGCTGAAATCAGTTGCTCAATAGAACAGGCTCATTACAATTAAATTCATTACTTTTAGCTTTAATAGTACTCTTTTTAACTTTCTGAAAGTCATTGTTAGCTGATATATCTCTTGTATGTAAAAGCTTAAGCTCATCCTGAAATCCTGCTGCCATTTCCCACAGTCTACACTTTTCTTTATTTAATGCTTCTACTTTAATTATGATAGCCTCCAACTTCTCCTTCAATCTACAAACTCAACATAAAAATTGCACACATCTTCATTACTAGCTTCCTTAAAAGTACATGCCAGTCCCGAGTTCCCAAATAAAACCTATTCATTGCACCCGTTACTCCTAACAAACTGTGAATGCTTATTTTCTACACTTATCTTAACCATTGTATGTATACTTATAGCCTGAAAATAAATACTCAATAACAAATATCAGTACCCTATAGCCAACACTGTTACTGTTAAGCCTAATGTTTAAGAACTGATTATATTATTATTTTTTATTACTACCATTACACGTACTAAGCCTATTTTAACATTGTAGTCAAATTTACACCACTAAACTAAGTTAAAACTTTGATCACCTTAGTTTTATTTACCAATCTTACTATATCTAGTTATTCTTCTGTTATTTAATCAAAATTAGTACAAATTATAATATTAATATTAAATCATTTTCAGAAATCTATAAGAGCTTAAGTTTTCAACCTTAAGGAATATAAGGACACTTTTCTTGTTGTGCAGCTTAAGAACATGAGAGCTATAAAAATGTACAGTAAATCTTTAATTTATGTTTAAAATAATGATTTATACATAAAAGTCAAGCGTAATAACTGTTTTTTGGTATTATTTAAGCTTAGAATGTGTTTAATATTCCTCTAAAATATCTGACTTTTAGTGAATTGGGTTTGTTTTCAATATATTTCAGTTCTGACTCATCTGTAAAATATCCATTTCAGGAATGTACCACTATGTTTGACTCAGTTAATCAGATGACTCATCTGTAAAATATCCATTTCAGGAATGTACCACTATGTTTGACTCAGTTAATCAGATGACTCATCTGGACAACACCCTATTGGCAGCTATGGAGTTCGATCTTCAGCAAGTCATTCGAGAATGTGGGTTCGTATCATCCTTAGAAAAATTAGAAGTCATTCTTGTTTTCCTGTATCCAAGAAAAGAAACTTAATTATGTATCCCTCGGCAAGATTACTCTATTTCACTCCTTTACTTGATGATACAGATCTTGTGCTTCAATTCTTTTATATAAAGACCAGAAACATTTGTTTTCTGTACCAATTTTTTGAGAAATACTGCTTCCAATTACACACACACATTTTTTTTTTCTTATATCCTCTCCAAGTTGTGTACACCTCTCATTCCTCTCTACCTATGACTTAAACCCTCTGTTACAGAATAAACTTTTTCCACTTAGTAAAGAAACCTTCTTCTGCCATTTCTCCTCTTAAGTAAGTTCCATCCGTTCTTGTTTTTGGTTCTTGTAACTCTTGTAAAAAGAAATCTTTTCTCTTGATGGAATAATTCATTGAAGTAACATGTGAATAGGCCCGGCATGGCCCGGTGGATAAGTCACTCAACTCGCAATCCGAGGGTCGTGGGTTCGCGTCCTTGTCGCACTAAACATGCCCACTTGGGCGTGGGGCTAGCAGCTCCACCCCAATAACAATCTGCTACAGAAACTGTAACAACACTTCCGTCGGCGAAATGCTGTTGTAGCCCTATGTTCCACTAGGAACGACAGGAACTAAGAAGAAGAAGAAGAACATGTGAATTAGCTAACAATATATGATATCGACATTATTATTTATGCTTTTTTACATATATAAATGTTGAATTGTGTTAAATATGGCATTATATTTGTAAAATAGTTTAAGCTTTTTTCTTATATCTGTCTTTAACATTTATAGCCACGTTTGTGAGAAATTCCACATTTTGTGAAAAATAAAAGAACAGAAAGCTCAAAGTTTGTGCTTTCTTTCAGTTGTACCTCAGATGAAAGTAGAAAGTGTGTTTTGTAGATAAACTGTCTAGTAATATTTCAAGAGAGTTCATTAATAGTATCTGATAGTTTTTTTATAACTGGGCTGCATCTGCTGTATGAGCAGGAAGGTTGGCCAAGCACAGAAGTTGGTAAATTTGTTTTGTTGAAGCGTCGTCTTTCTTTATTGTCTCATAGATTAGATAACTTTTTATAAAAGAAATTACAATATTTTATTTTGGTAGCATTGTAATATTTCATGATGTTTTCTCACCTGCAACAAGAAAAAAAACAACTCAACCACCAATTTTTCTTTGCAACCAGCTATCAAAGTACTATTAAAGTTCCAGTTCTTCAACAAATTTTGTGCAATATTTGATCTGTAGCTTATAAAAGGGCCGATTACTCCAGTAATTCTTCGTGACGGTATAAAAGCAGTGTAGTTCTATTCACTTTCTAGGTTTCTAGTATAATTTCAATTTCTAATTTTACTGAAGATTTTACTTTATTTTAGATAAATATAATATTTTCCAACATTTTAAATATAAGTTTAAAGGGACGATTGAGAATGTACTGACAAATGTACCTTTCAACATGATACTTAATCTTCCACGTCACGCAACTAGAAGCAAGAAGTCCAAAGCACCAGTAGTTGAACCTGTGTTTAAACTTTACCATATGCAGTACAATATCTTGATATGAATAATTTAATATAGGATAATATAACAAATTAATTTTTAGTTCTGTTAGTATTTTTTTTTTTCTGTAAAGGATTGGAAAGTAGACTTACTTAGTATAACTATCCGGTTTAGGCTTTACCTTGACAGCTGGTGGTTTGTGGCCCATCTTACAGACCTGTTACATCATGGGGGTCAGTTAGACCTTCAACAACTCAGGTAAGTCAGAATTATTATTAATCATTTTGATAATAGATCTGTAAAATTAGCAAAACAAAATATTTTGTTCAGGATTTCCCAGTGTTACCGAAGTATGAAGACTGTTGGTAAATCAAAGACTGCCAGTCTATAACACTAATGATGAAATATGATTTTGTTCAGGATTTCCCAGTGTTACCGAAGTATGAAGACTGTTGGTAAATCAAAGACTGCCAGTCTATAACACTAATGATGAAATATGATTATTTCATTCCTCATGCTATGAATTTATAAATTTGCTGTTGATTAAGATTGCTAAGCTGATTTTATTCATCTTACACTTCAGTTACATAATATAAAATATTTTGTTTTCAATGTAAATGTTGGATCTCTCAGTTTTTATAAAATACACTATGGCTGTGAGATTGTCTGTAAAAATATTTCCTTTCTTCAAGTTCATTTATATGTTTCCATGTAACTGTATCACCTCTCAGATGTTGTAAAAATCAACCTTGATTGTTATATAGTCTGTAAAAATATTTCAAGTAAATCTCAGTTAATGTTTATTTCAACTTTTCCATCCTTGGTGTCAGTAGTCAAATGGAGTAGATTTAATGACTTCATAGCTCCTTTGGATCGAACCAGCTATGTTGTATCACCATGAGCAGAAAGCTTTATAAAAACTGTGTTTCATTAGCTACTTACCCAAGTTTTGATTAAATGTAAAGCCGACCAAATGGTGTTCATGTAATCAGTGCTGCACCCCAGTGGTTTGCAGTAGGTCTGCAGACTTATAATGCTAAAATCCAAGGTTCAAGTCCCCATAGTGGACACAGCAGATAGCCTATTGTGGCTTTGCTCTAAACACAAACACACAATTAATCAGTGATTCAAAGATCTATTGGTATAGTCTAAAACAGTGGTTCCCAAACTCTTTTAGTCTGAGGCTCCCTTGATGTGAATAAAAAAGTTTGAGGCCCCCCGACCTATAACTTTAGTACGATGATTGAAAAACAGTGCTGTAGTAAAAAAAAATCTCATTTCAACATACTGTATCATTTCATTAATTCAACATTATTTTTATCAATTTATCATTTATTTAGAATTAAAATTAATTCAGCATCTTTGTTTTCGTCCCATTTTTTCGTGGCCACCAGGGGGCAGGACTCCGACTTTGGGAAACACTAGTCTAAAAGACAAAAGAAATAAGGATGAAAATTGAGGCTTTCAAGCCTAATTAACATGATTAGTTGGAGCAAAAGCTTGGACTTTTAACAAAATTTCCTGACTGTCATATTTTTCATTTCTCTACATGATTTTTTAATTCTGTGCATAATTATGTATTCACTTGTGCTTTAGTGAGTAGAATTAATACATCCACAATACTATTGGACCATAGTATGGTAATCTCCTGCAGTGGAACATATGTTATTGAAATACTTTCCTAAGTTACCCCAAACCAATATGGAGCAGTGTTCTCATCCAAAATGTGAAGGCTGTGGTTTTTAAAAAGAACTTCTGACCCAAAAAGCCATTGTTATTTTATCAAGATAACAATACATTGAAGGCTTATAAACTAAAGACACGAAATCAAGGCTGTTTTATGAGAAAGATGGCTGAAGAAGGTGTGATTACACTAACATCAGTCGGCTACATGTCAGTCGGACCCACTGATGCAGCTTCAACAGACTTTTGTACCTTTTGGCCTGCTTAAAATCTGTGTACAGTGAAGAGTGTATGGTCTCTGATTGACCTCGTCATCCTACATAGAAGCTCATTACAACAAGCAGAGGGAGTAGAAGTTCGAAGCTTAGCAGAGTAACTGGAACTAGAAGTTACAAGCTTAGCAGAGTAACTGGAACTAGAAGTTACAAGCTTAGCTGAGTAACTGGAACTAGAAGTTCGAAGCTTAGCAGAGTAACTGCAACTAGAAGTTCGAAGCTTAGCAGAGTAACTGGAACTAGAAGTTCGAAGCTTAGCAGAGTAACTGGAACTAGAAGTTCGAAGCTTAGCAGAGTAACTGGAACTAGAAGTTCCAAGCTTAGCAGAGTAACTGGAACATCATTCTTATAAATCATAATTAATTTTAGTTATTGAAATATTGCTTTCCCCTAAAATTATTTTACATAGAATTAATTAGGTTATTTAGTTATCATAATATCTGTAATTTTCTAATTGTGATTATTTTATTTAACCCTATGGTGCTTGCAAGGGTGCACCCATTGTTCAAGGGTAAAATTGTACTAGTTAATTAAAACTTTATATAAAATAAACTTGAAATCATTTGTTCACAATTTTTAACTACTTTAGAGTTGAAGTCTAGTCTTAAAAAGTTTTATTTATTTGATTTTATACATAAATATTTTAAAAAATGACAAATTTTGGATTTGGGGTTAATTTCAGCTTGCCTCAATTAAAAACTGTTGGGTGAATTTCCTAAATTGTTTCTGAGCATCATCAAACACTCCTAGTCCCCTAGGAGAAAGGGCAAAATAATTAAAAAAAAAAGGCATCAAGTTGAACTTTTTTTTTTCCATACAAGTGTACAATTACTAATTTTGACTAATCACTGTTTCTCACATATGGTTATCATGGTGTATCAGCTTTGATAAGTCATAAGCTTTCACATAAATATTTATTGAAAGCTTTCTTTTTGTTGTTATCCTTTTTAACTACATAAGCAAATGTGGCTTCCAATTCATTGTAGAGGTCAGGACAAAGTGACAAAATTGTAACTAGGCAAAGAAAAATATGTTTGTTCAAAACTTCCGACATGGGTACATGCTGACTTTTTTATGTAAAGTTTGCTTTATCATGCTTTATCATTTTATCCTTCATTTTAATTATAATATTGATAGGAAATGTTATTTGTAGAATGAAATAGGATGAGAATTGTTGGGCCTAATTAGATCATCTTGCACTCATCTGTATCAGGTTTAGTTTTGCCAACAAAGCTGCTGTTTGTTATGCTGTGTTTACATTAAGCTTTTATTAGCCTGAATATCAAATTAAATTGGCAAAGAAAATCACCAAACAAAAGGAAATGTAATAAAAAATATATAAATCAATATACAACATGCTTAAAACTTGTTAAATATATTAAATTAAACCTTATGAATAAACATTTTAAAACTATATTTTATTTTACAGAAGCTATGTAATCTATAGAAAATTTGTCTCAACTTACAAATAGTTTCGTCCAGTAGTTTTTATGTGTTTCTTTGCAGTACAACAAAAACCTTTGAATCAATACATCCAATATTCTTAGTTAAGTGTATAATTTTTAAAAGTACGACAAATGATTTCAGATGTGTATTGAAAAATAATAGAAACACAAACAGAAGAATTTATCTATAATTCTAATAAAGCATGTGACATCATACCGTTTTTCAGCACTAATAGCTAATATGAGTATTTTATTTTTAACATATGATTGTTATTGATTGATTAATTTCCTAATAAAGCATGTGACATCATACCGTTTTCAGCACTAATAGCTAATATGAGTATTTTATTTTTAACATATGATTGTTATTGATTGATTAATTTCCTAATAAAGCATGTGACATCATACCGTTTTTCAGCACTAATAGCTAATATGAGTATTTTATTTTTAACATATGATTGTTATTGATTGATTAATTTCCTCAGACGATACAGTCCAAGCATGTCTCAATATTGTTCTTTACTTGTTATGATGCAGTACTATTTTCTATAAGATTTTATATAGTTTCTTGTGTTACCTCTATCTTTAACATTGGAATAGATCAATGGTCTGAACTTTACTATTAAATATAGGATCCATATATATGGATCCTACTGCAATGATGTACATTTCATTTTTTTCTCACAGCTACTCTAAAAATCTCCGAGAATTTCAGCTCATAGACTATGCATCTTCCTTAATGACTCATCAGAGGTAAGAAGATTCATTCTGACTTAGAGCTATAAGTACAGCTATTCACTCTATATTACTTTGTGATTAGCCTCTCCCTACTGATACATCAGAGGTAAGATGATTCATTCTGACTTAGAGCTGTAAGTACAGCTATTCACACTACATTACTTTGTGATTAGCCTCTCCCTACTAATACATCAGAGGTAAGATGATTCATTCTGACTTAGAGCTGTAAGTACAGCTATTCACACTACATTACTTTGTGACTAGACCTTCCCTACTAATATATCAGAGGTAAGATGATTCATTCTGACTTAGTGCTGCAAGTACAGCTATTCACACTGCACGACTTTGTGACTAGACTTTCCCTACTAATATATCAGAGGTAAGATGATTCATTCTGACTTAGAGCTGTAAGTACAGTTATTCACACTACATTACTTTGTCATTAGCCTCTCCCTACTGATACATCAGAGGTAAGATGATCCATTCTGACTTAGAGCTGTAAGTACAGCTATTCACATTGCACGACTTTGTGACTAGACTTTCCCTACTAATATATCAGGTACGATGATTCATTCTGACTTAGTGCTGTAAATACAGCTATTCACACTACATTACTTTGTGATTAGCCTCTCCCTACTGATGCATCAGAGGTAAGATGATTCATTCTGACTTAGAGCTGTAAGTACAGCTATTCACACTACATTACTTTGTGATTAGCCTCTCCCTACTGATACATCAGAGGTAAGATGATTCATTCTGACTTAGAGCTGTAAGTACAGCTATTCACACTACATTACTTTGTGACTAGACTTTCCCTACTGATGCATCAGAGGTAAGATGATTCATTCTGACTTAGAGCTGTAAGTACAGCTATTCACACTACATTACTTTGTGATTAGCCTCTCCCTACTGATGCATCAGAGGTAAGATGATTCATTCTGACTTAGAGCTGTAAGTACAGCTATTCACACTACATTACTTTGTGATTAGCCTCTCCCTACTGATGCATCAGAGGTAAGATGATTCATTCTGACTT